AGAGAAAGGAGCAGTTTGTGAAAGCTAAGAAACTTGTGGGAAGAAAAAAACCCCCAGCTTCATAGAGAAAGATGCTATTTCCAGAAAAAAGAGGGTTGAAGTAGAAATGAAGCTCAAGAAGTAGAGAGGAGAGAAAGCACTTCCAGAGGCACTGAAGATGGTTGAAGAACTGAGGGAAATAGTAGGAGCCCCTCCCTTTTATAATGGATGCTGGGTTGGGGGGGGCACCTGCTCTGAGCTGCTAGATCTTCTTGGCAACAGGCTCCAAGCAAGCACAGCAACCACGAAGAAGAAGCCAGGTGCTTGACCGTTGACAAGATGGACCCCTGGTCCGACAGAGCAGTTTCTGATGTCTCCCAGGACCAGGAGTCTGTTTGTGGAACACTTCTCCTGCCCACCCTGCTGGCCAAAGCATCATTATCCGAGATCACGGTTCCTTTCTACCAACCACATTTCATGGGCATTTCACCCATTACATTAGGCTAAGCAGTGCTGTGTGAGAGCCACTGTGGCGCTGTGGTTATGAGAGCAGGACTGGGACTCAGGCGATCTGGGTTCTAGTCCCCGCTCAGCCATGGAGCCACCTGGCTGAGTTTGGACCAGTCACAGACTCTCAGCCCAGCCTAGCCACAGCATGGTTGTTGTGTGGATAAGATGGAGCGCATAAGGAGAATTATGTAAACCACTTTGGGTTCTGTGAAAGGAAGGAAGGAAGGAAGGAAGGAAGGAAGGAAGGAAGGAAGGAAGGAAGGATAGAACCCAAATGACAGATAAACAAATAGGTAACATAGGTTTGCCACCAACAATGGTGCACTCCACAGTGAGCCATGGCCAGCTATGGGAGAGCACCACACAATATTTATTTCTGGAATTTCTACTTTCTGGTTTTAAACAGAGGTCCAGAAATGCAGTAGTCAGAAGCAGCTGCAAATCTCTTACTGGCAATAACCTCCCACCTGGAGGACCGGCAGAACCGCCCCTCCCTGCATGTTGTTTCCAGGTGAAATGATGAAGAGCCTCTTAGCACCTGGACAGGTCTCCAAGTCATTGCCTCTGCCACTGTTCTGCAACATTTGATATTCCAGCTTAAATAGACTAATTATTTCTAAATGTATATCTATATGCATCCACACACACAAATTCTATGTACGAGTTGTCTTTTTTTTCTCCCTTTCTTGTTATTGACTCCTTTCCCTTTTTTTTTTTTTTTTTCTGGAGAAGTAAAAATGGCCCCCCAGTGGGTCCTTCTTAGAAGTGGTCCCAGTTTTTAATCTGGGACTGCCCAAACGCGCCACTGAGCTCCACCAACCCCCCCCCCCCGCGCCCCCGGTCTGCCCTGCATTGTGAAGGTGCGGGGTACTGACTTTGGAGATTTGGTAAAGACGGCCATGGCATAATGTGGAAGCAGCCGAGCAGCCCTCTGCCTCCATGCACGCTGCGCTGGGCACCAGATGGCCGGCAAGGGTGCCGTCGGGCTCTGATCGACAGACTGACAAATGTGCCGCAGATCTGAGTAGCAGTGTTTGTTCTCCTGGCCGGCTCACTTCTCTAAAGCAAGGACACCTTCCCGGCAGTTCATGTGCAAGAGGCCTGGGCAGGCAACAGAGGCGGCACGGGATTAGCAAGTTCTCTCCCAGCGCGGCAATTCCTTTCCACAGCTAAAATTCAGCCCGGATGCCTTTGCTCAGCGGCCCTTCCCTGTGCTGGCTCCCCTGTTCTGCAGAGAGGTTCTTGGGCATGCCCATTTTATTTATTAACTTGATTTCTATACTGCCCACAGTCCACAGGCTCTTGGCACCCTCTTCCTGAGCATAGGCATGTTCTTGGCTGTTTGGCCTGCTCTTGTGGGCCCAATCCACTCAAAGGGAGTGGTCGAGGGGAGTGGTGGGGCAGCAGTGCATGGAGCTGCAGAGTTGACAGGTGGCCTTCTGATGGAGGAGGGGCCTCCAGAAGGACCCACCACTGCCAACCGCGAACAGTGGCCTTGCCTTGGCCCTGCAATAAATCATGAATCGGGTCGCCTCCAGGTACAGGACTCTGTAGTTCCATGGATTTCAGGGTGAGAAAGAGTAAAGTGCATACTTAAGTGGCCCGGCTCAGTGGCGAATGTTAGAGTCAGGGGCTCGCTGTACAATTCCCCATAGCCGTGCCTGCAAGGAGAGTCCAGAAAGGAAGGCAGCTGTGCAGAAGCAGTATAAACACACCTCTGTGTCACACACACTCAAACTGTTGTGGCTTCTCCCAGAGAAGCAACTGCCAATGTGGGCTCAGGTAAGGCAATGCTCATCCCAGGGTTGGTCCTGCTATAAGGCAGAGTGAAGTGCTCACCTCGGGCAGCAGATTTGGGAGGTCATTAAAAAGCAGCAAATGCAAGTTGCTGTATTGTTTCCTGTTGAGGGGGGTAGATATCTTTGTGGTATATATACCATCTCAGGTGCCAAAATAACGGCCAGCCTTGCCTGCTGTGAACCTGTAGTCGGTGATTATACCATGCACAGTTCTGCCTCAGTGAGCAAAATATTTTGCATGGGGGAACTGTTGAAAATACTCTGCAGGTAAGTCCTCCCTGCCTTGCTAGTTTTTCTGTAAGGAAGGATGCATGGGTTTACTCTCTCATTCTGGAGAACTTCTAGGCCTTGGTCTAACAAGGATGAGAATTTTCTTAGAGGCCCTGAACCCCCATCACAGGGTACTGACTCTGTGGAGAGGGACAGAATAGTAAAAGCAGCTTGCTTCTTTTGTGCAGGGACATCACAGATATTGCTCTCCACTCTTCTCATAGGAATAGGAAACTGCCGTATGCAGACTCAAGCCATCGGTCCATCTAGTCCAGTTCTGTCCACCCTGAGTGGCAGTGCCTCTCCAGGGTGCAGGAAGGGTTTTTCCCGCCCTGCACAGCAAGGCCTGGGTGCAGACCTGGGATGGTCCATGTGTGAAGCACTGAGCCACGGCCCCTTCTGCAAACGCTGCATTTGGCCCCATAAATCCAAGTAGCCTCACTCAGCCTCCACGGTGTTAGATTACAGCTCTGTGTGGCTGCAAGACTGCAAAAGTTGTAGTCCAAGAGAACTGGGGAGTGCCAGGCGGGCAAGGCTGAATTGAACACTCCCACCCTCCAGGGACTGCTGCAGCCTCTTTCTGGCTTCTGTAGGAAACAGCCACTCTGGGGATGGCCAACGTGTAAGGAGGAAAAAGCCACAGGATGGACCGTGGTCTGGACCCTCCCCGTTGCCTCAGAGGTTTGGCTACAGGGTAACATACCAATGGAATGAAAAACTGCAGAGCAGAGGCGGTAACTCAACATGCTCTAAGGAAAAAGCTCAGGGAACACAACAGTGCTGTGGAGAAGGTGGTCAAAAGGGAATGGAGGGTGGGGGCCACACTCTTTGAAGCTGTGTGCTGAGGAAGGGAAGGGGTGAGCTCCGGCAACCACCCAGCTCCAGAACATTCTGTTGACAAGGCTTTGCAAAAGCCACAACCCCCCCACCCCCCCGCCGGCCCCATGTATGAGTCACCAGGAGTTTGATACATGAACTGAGGAAATACATGAAAAGGAACAGCGCTCCAGCCTCAACCTCCCCCATCAACACATTGGATGCCCTCGCCTTGCAGAGGGTGGTCAGAGAGACCGCCGCACAAACAAGGGTGCCGATTTCCCAGAGATCTGGCTTGCACGGAGCACCTCCATGGATGGAGAAGGCTCACCTCTTTGGGCACTCTCTCTATGCTTGTTTATATATTTAAAACATGTATGTCTTATGTCCAAACAGGATCTCTAGATGGCTTGCATCAAAAATAGAACAGTAACTAAACAGCCAAACCCACAAAAAAGCACTTGAATAAATCACAATCTACAATATATAAAACTATGCAGTAAAAACATTCTAATAATTAAAATACTGGGCAAATAAAAAGGTTTTGGCCTGGCACTGAAATGAACGAGTTGGCAACAGGTGTACCTCTCTGGGGAGCAGATTCCACATTGAGACACTACCACTGAGAAGGTCCTTCCCCGTATGGCCACTCTTCCAGCCTCAGAGAAGGACCTTGGCAGATGATCTTAAGGTTCAGACAGATGCATATGGAAGATGTTCCCTTAGATACCCAGGCCCTAAACCTTTGAGGGTAACAAATGTGATGAACAGGTTGGGTGGGGCAAAAGCATTTCCCCCCTCCTCATGCATCTGCTTTATTCGGGTACAGAACTCCCCAGCTGCGCTAGAAACCAGGAAGAACCTCTGTGTCCAAGGCAGTGTGTGTTTGAAGTATCAGATGCTGGGAGAGACGGCAAGGTGCTAGATGTACCTTTGGAGTGATCCATTCCACTTTTCTTGTATGTGGGATCTGCAAGGAAGCGGGGGAAAGAGCTCATCTGGCAAGAACTAGAATTCCTTGCTGTGTCTTCTGATCCCAAGGGTGATGCTTTCCTTTTGGAGTAGATGAGGGTGGAAGGAACGCGTGGCTTTTCTTGGGCTTTGCTGCCACCTGCTGCTGATCTGGCTGCAAACGGAAGACCGCATTTCAGGTATCTGACACTGATGCCCGTCTGCAAGAGCTTGTCATAACAAATGTGCCAGGCTGAAAACGAACTAAACATGCAGCTAGATGGGACGCTGAGTGAACGGCACTGGGATGTTTCACTCTTCTGGTCATGATGAAAATTTTGGTGTGTGCTCTCCATTTTCCATGGCCTGGTGAATTACAGACTTCCTCTCTGTCTTCATGCGCTCAGTCTGGAGTGCAAGCATGGAAGCGCAGGAGGGCAACCTGTGGGCACCTGAGATGTTTTAGCTTACAGATCCCATTACCTCCAACCAGCAAAGCCAATGGTGAGGTATCACAGCAGTTCCAGCCCCAAACAACTGTTAGATGTTGAGCAATCCATTAAATATATCTATTCCAATGCCGAGGAAATTGGGGGTGCCCCTGCATGTAACAGATACCACTCCATCCCCACCAGAAAGTATCTGCCACAGTAACATCTCAAGCAAGTCAAACTATTAAAAAACCAAATTTTTGTTTTTATTATTTGGTCCTTCAGAACCTGAGTTTGAAAACCACCCAAGGGAGAATTCGTATTATACAGGGACTGATTACAGATTTCATTTACAATTGATAAAATATTCTATATTTTCTTGAGAGCTGGACAATATTTACATGGTTAAAAATTATTCACTGCTGAGAGGGAGAGGGAAAGAACAAGAACAGAAAAGTAAAAAACCATCCAAAAGGAGAGACATTTTGATAGCGTGAAAACAAATACCTTGGAAGAAACAGCTGGCAGGATCAGGAAAGGAGGAAATCACAGAGTGAACACTGATTTGAGGGGAGGGAAGGGGGACTGATGGGGCAAACAGGAAGGGGGAGAAAATCAACTTTCTGCCCACAGCTGATTGGATGGAGAGGAAATGGAACTGGGAGAGGGCAGGGATGTATTCACATGATACAATGTTGGCACTGCTGTCCCATCCCCAGAAGGACCTGGCAATGCCAAGTTAGCCCTCAGCTCAGGAAACCCTGCCCTTCTTCGGGCTCCCAGTGCTAGCTTGGCCATGGCCTGCAGTAGCAAAGCCCACTGGCACCTTCTACCTCCTGACAAGGGCACATCTGCACGACACCTGCATGAGTTTTATACCAGCTTAAATGGTCATGGCTTCCATCCAAAGAATCCTGGGGATTTTAATTTGAAATGATGTGCTAAGAATGCTTAGAGATTTCCTCCCTTTCCCTCTCCACATTTCCCTGGGAAGAGGGACAAAGCAGTAAACCACGAGAAGCGTGCCCCTGCTCCTTCACAAAGAGGAAGGGACTCTGGAACCAGTCGAAGTCTGCAGTGAAGATACGCCCTGCAGACAGAGGCTGACGATGGCATGGCTGTAGCATGATCTCTCGGGATCAAACAGCTCCCCTCACAGCACAGTCGGTGGACCGTGGAAATCTGCAGATCCAGACAGCAAGCAGCACCTGACCCCATCCGTTAGATGCACTCACGCCTTTGGCATCTGACTGCCCCCCCCCCCCCTCATCCTTGTGCCACAAGGGCCAATTGTTGATAAAAGCACCCAACAAACTACATTTCCCAGAAGTCACCTGCAGGAAGGAATTAGTGCAAATGCTATTATGACTTCCTCAGAAGTAGGGCTACCATCTCCTAGCAGGGGTCTCCCATCTCAGCAGCCCCTCTGAGGCAGGCAGAAACCAGCGAAATGTTTCCCCACTGCTGCATCTCTGCACTTGCAGAAAGCTTCACTTGCTGAATTTCTGCCTGCCATAGTGCTAGTGACAGCAGAGAAGCACTTCCATGAGATGCTAGGACAGGTAGTGGGGAAGAGGTGGTAACCCTTCTTGGAAGGTGAATAAAAACTTGGCTTGAGGGAGGGAGGAAAAATAGTTCCTCTTGCTGATGGTTACTGCAGACCCCTCCCACTTCCCCACCCTTAAGGGGAGGGAAGAGTACAGGGTACTGCAATTACACAATTGGGATCCTCTACAAACCAGAGAAACATAAGGAACTAGATGCCACACAGGACATTCCTATGGCTACCCAGGTATTCTTGTGCCCCCTCTGGGCCTAGCACTGGTTACACCCTACGGATGACAGTGGTGCATCTGTGAGCAGCTGGGGGGGGGGGGTGGAACCCCACAGAGGCACAATATGCTTCCTATGCTCAAAGCTACCAGGAACTCCCCACCTCCACCCTGGCAGATGCCCCCAACTTGGTGGTCGGTGCAGCAAATATGTCATTGTGGTATCCAGACCAAAAGCATTCTCCTGCTGCGGAATAGTGTAAGGGGAGCGGGTGCTGGCAGCAGGTCTGGCTCACAGTTCGTTCCGATGGGTCTCCTGAACCCTTCGTCCAAGCACAGGCCCCAGCCTTCGACCGCCCTTCACCCTCACCCTCGGGTGCTCATCAGAGGCAGGCCTTGTGAAGTTCAGATTAGTTCAACGTTTCAACCTGCTGCCTGTGCAAATGGCAAGGCCTGTCTTCTGACGCGTGGCGTGGACACGTTGTAGAGACCAAGACAATGTGCAAGGACTCTGCTTGTCCTGAGCCTCCCCGCCATGCTTCCCAGGACACTCCTGCAACCCTGTGCCCGAACCAAAGGCATTGGCAGGAAGATACCCTCCTGCTACGCTGTGCCTGAGCCCACCAAGTGGACTAGAAACCCTGTTCCTGATTACCCTGCAATCAAGTCCCAGCTCCACAGATGCATCTGTGACGCTCAGCCCTGCTGTGGGCGGAGACCCCTGGCCTCCGGGCACTTGCCCCACGGTTTCAGCTTATCCTTGTCTGAAGCTGGTGGTCAGTTCAGCAACTTCGAGGGTGACTAACAAAGACCAACCGCTCTCCTGCACAGGCTTCGGCAGAACTCTGGGGGCACGACAGAAACTCCTTCCTGGCATAAGGCTTATCTCCTTTTTTGGGGGGTGGGGGAAGAATCTTTATCGGTGGGTTCAAAAATTCCCCCCGTGGGAGGCTGAGCATCGAACTCCAACGCAGAATGGGGGAGAATCAAAGTGCTAAACTGACCAAACCGTGGGTAATAGTGGTCAGGCATCCCTGCCCGATCACTATTAAACTAGCACTGAACTGTAAGCACAGAAGGCACAAGGGGAGGTCAAGTCAGCAAAGGGCACACGCCTTCTTCCCCACCTCCACTGCTGACCCTTGGCTACACTCCCTCCAGGACAGCCTGAACCAGTCTGGCATGCTCCAGATGAGTTGGGGGGAGGGGTCCCTCAGACACAGGAACTGCAGACACATCTGGATGGCCTGAGTTGAGGCAGGCTGATCTGGGACATGGACTGCCAGAACAGAAATGGGAAGGGCTGGAGCTCCTTGAAGCCAGGAGGCTGCAAGGTTCATCACTATAAATGGCTTTCACAGACCTTTCAAAAGAAAGGCAGGCTGCTTACCTGTAACTGTTGTTCTTTGAGTGGTCATCTGTGCATTCACACAGGCGGGGCTTTGTTGCATAGCGCAAGGCCTGGATCAGAAAGAAACGTTCATTGCAAAAGCTCACAAAGTAGGCGGGAACCCTCCCACCCCTCCCAGGTCCCTGGATGAGAGGAGCGCCCCACCCACTCCCTCCAACTCAAGGACATGTCCAGCCCTGCTGCGTGCCTGGGGACCCACCAGTGGCAGGGGCGAGAGGCGCAGTGGGCGGCCGCAGCCAGTGGGGGCGGAGGGTGGGTTGTGTGCATGCACAGGTGACCACCTGAAGGACAGTTACAGGCAAGCAGCCTGACTTTCTTCGTCATGGTCTCTGTGCATCACGCATGCGGACGACCAGCAAGCTTCCCCTTAGTGGCTGGAGTGGCAGGAAAGCTGGTAGGGCAGCGCGGCCAAAGGCGCCATCTTGCCTTGTGCAGACATTGTCTGTAGTGCCTGAAGGAGGTCGATGGCGTGGACCACATGGAGAGAGCAGCGTATGCAACCTGTGCACATGCAGAGTGTGTCTGGGGACGTGTGTGAAGGTCGAGCACAGCCATCTTGTATGCCAGGGAGATGGTGTTGCAGAGTCATGTGGATGATCTCTGCGACAAGACAGGATCCCCCTTGCCCTGGCCATCGTAGGACACGAAGAGGCAGCAAAAGCCTCTCTCTACACACGGCTTATAAAAGGTAAGGGCTGTGCAGACATCCAGCAGGTGGAGGGAGGCCTCAAGGGCTTGGGAAGAAGGCTGGAAGGATTGATGTGGAAAGACGTGGAAAGATGGGGTGACTTTGAGACGAAACCGAGGGACTGGGCAGAGGACTGTCTTGTCCTTGTGGAAGATGAGATGGGTCTAGGCCTGCTGACCTGGAACGGTGTGTGAACGTGCTCCATTTAGCCAGGTAGGACTTACAGGTAGAGGGCTTAAGAGCAGCCTGAAGGATAGAAGCGACTGCAGGGGGTAAAGACAGAAACTGAGCGAGTCAAAAGGGTCCTCCTGGGCCATCTAGTCTGACCCCTGGCTCCATCCGGCTCCGCTCACGGCATGCCCACCATGTGCATTGTCCAGCCTATCTTTGAACACCCACACTGATGGGGCCTCAACCACCTCCTGTGGAAGCCCATTCCATACCCTCGGGATCCTGTCAGCAAGTACTTCCTGGCATCCAAACTGAACCTTGGTTCCTTGCGTTGGGCTCAAGATGGATAGGGTTTACAGCCTGCGAATCATCCAGGCAGTCAGGTTCAGGTTCCCGATGGCCAGGTGGAGGTCACAGCCCCTTTCCTGGGAGAGGATGTTGTGGATCTGTGGCAGGCGGAGGAATGTCCTGTTGGATAGGTGGAGGAGGCATGGGAGCCACGGTTGTCACAGCCACCAGGGGTGATGAGGAGACAGTCCATGTGGTCTTTCTACATTTTGACACTCACCTTGGTAATCAGGAGGAAAGGGGGAAAGGCGTAGAACAGGGTCCTGTCCCATCTCGGGAGGAAGGCATCCCTGAGAAGCCCCTCCTCTGTCGTGCTCTGAAGCGGAAAAGGTGGCACTTGGCATTTTGGGGAGTGGCAGAGGTCCACCTCTGTGGTGCCTCAAGCTGGTTGTGGAGGACCATGACGTGAATGAAATGGCTCTATCCAGGCACCACTCCCAGATGGGAGATGCAAGGTTGGACCGGTGGGCTGAGCGAGTGCCATCCTGCTTGTTCAGGTGATACACAGCTGCTGTATTGTCTGTGGCAATTTGGACATGGCAACCCTTCAAGGAGTCCTGAAAGGAGAGCAGGGCTTTGCGAACAGTCAGCATCTCCAAGAGGTTGATACGGCTTCAGGATTCTTGGGCAGTCCAGAGGCCCTGGGTGTGGAGATCTCTGCATCTGGGCCTAAATGCCCCATCCTCCTGTGCTTGAGGTATCTGTTGTGTGACCTCTGGTTGTGGTGGAAAGAGAAGGACCCCAACTGAGAGGTTAGGTAGGGTGGCCACCAGCAGAGCAAGTGGGGGGAGCTGTCAAGTAGGGGTCTTCATCTGTGGTGAAGGCTTCCCTGAACCACAGCTGGGGGGTCTCATCTGGGGGTGAGGTGTACAACCTCATGGCACTTCATGGCTGCCATGAAGTCCAGCAGCATCTATATGGTATGGTTGGCGAAGTAAGCCACAGTTCAGAGGGACATGGTAAGGAAGATGAGAGTCTTGAGGTTGTGGGATTAAAGTCCTCACAGATATGGAGTCCAGGCAAGCCACTATGAAAAGGATGGACTGGTTAAGGGAGAGGATAGACTTGTCACTGCCCAGGGTCTGCATGAGTGTGCAAATGATTCGCACTATCTGCAAGAGGAATGCTCTGAATGGGGCTGTGTGGAGCCAGTCATCCAGGTATGGGAATACTGGAACATCCTGGAGCTGGAGGTGTGCGCAGTGGCTAGCCAAGGAGGACAGAGAACTGAAAGGTTTCCTGCCCTATTCAGAATCTGAGGAAGTGCTTGTAGGCATGGTTAACAGAGATATGGAAATAGGCATCTTTGAGGTTGATAGAGGCAAAGCAGTCGCCCTGCCTGAGCAGGGGGAGGATGCCTTGCAAAGTGGTCATCCTGAACCTCTTGGGGGCAGGGGGTGGGGGGGAACTGCCCGGACTTGATCCTTAGCATTGCTGCCTCTTGTCCTGATGCTTAGGGGGGAATTTTTGCCTGGTCTGGAAATCCAGCCTCTTAAGGAGGGCAGGTGGCTTGGGCGTAATCAGGGAAGAAGGGAAAGCTTCTGGCGCCAAGAGGGGCCTCCTGCCATGTATGCACTTGAGGGTGCTGGCAGAACCCCATATGCTTGGTGGTGGTTCTGGCCTTGTGAAGGGACTCCATGAGTCCCTTCCTGTCAAATGGTACATCCTCAATGTGGGTGCGGGTCTCCTGAGGGAGGCCCGCGGAGCAGAGCCAGGCAAGGTGATGGCAATGGCTCCAGGAGCACCTTCCCATCGCAGTCCATGCAGTCCTCTAGTTGGTATCTGGAGAGCCTCTCCGCCTCTGTGTGGAGCAGCCAAGGCGTGCAGTGTTGCTTGGCTGGGAGGTGCCGCATCAAGGAATCCAACTTGTCCCAGAGGAACATCTGGCAACCGGCCATGGCTGCCTCATACATGGACACACGAAGGCCCAGCAAGGCTGCAGTGCAGGCTCTTCGGGCCAAGCTATCCGGGTGTCACCCCCCCGCCCTGCTGGCACCGAGTGCTCCCAATGGGAGCTCCCCCGCATCGACTCAAGGAGAATAGAGTTGGGCTCGGGGTGCTGAGTCAGAAAAGGGAGCAAGTGGTGCAAGGCCCAGTGGGTAGATTCAATGCAGTGCCAGGTGGCAACCCATCACAGGGGATTTCCAAGACCGCTGTGCACCGTGCAGCAGGACTGCAGGAAAGAGAACGAAGACAGAGCAGAGTGGTCTGAGGTCAGGGCCCGAAAATGGGGTCGGCCGTAAGCTCTCTGGGCTGAGAAACCTCAAGGCAGAGGTCGTTGGCCATACGCAGGACTAGGGAGGTGAAGCATCCTCCCCCCACAGGCAAGTCCAGCTCTTGCTCCCGGGCCTGGGTCTAGGAAAAGTGCAGTTGGGGAGCAGGCGAGAGAGAGGGGAGTCAGGGGAGCAACTCTGACCTGAACCTGAGGAGGAAGATCTGTGGTGGCTGGATGGCGATGACTTTTGTCTCGGGATCGGCGAGAAGAGCGACGCTGGCTGGATGTGGGCTGCAGAAGCGATGGGTGGGCTGGCAGGCCCCATAGCCACCCAGGACAGGACTGGAGCTGGTCAGCTTGGTGGGTTGCTGATAGGGGTGCCCGGAGCCTGCATGGTCTCCAGAGTGCTAGACTGGGGCAATGTTGGCATCGAGGTCTTCTGGAGTGGTAGACCGGGCCAGTGTTGATGCTGGAGCTGGCCTGGCATCTCTCTGCGTGTGTGTGGCCTGAGTCAGTGTGGGATGCCTTGTGGTGTCGGCCCAATCTTGGGCCGGCGTCGAGGAAGGCCAGAGAGGTGTCCACATGCTCTTGGCGTTGGGTACGCATGCACACAGCGCTGCAAGTCATTGGGCTTGGCCTGAGAACAATGGTGACAGTGCCTTGGGCTGCCCCCAGATAGGGCCAGTATGGTCATGGTGGAGGTTGGTGAGACAGTGGTGGGCACGAGCACATGACTGGGTGGTGCCAGGGCCCAAACGGATCTCTCTCCAGACTCTCCGGTGGCCTGGCATGGGCGGCACAGGGAGGACATCCGGCAGTTCCAAGGAGTCCCCAGGGTAGGTCGAGGAGGGGACCAGGGAGTGTCACGATCCCAGTGGAATGAGGGGGGAGCAGAGCAACGCTCAATGTCCCCTGGGGATAAGTCCCCCAGCTGAGGCTGGCATGAGGAGGCTGGGCGGGGAGCCGCACAGAGAGGCAAACGGGGGATGGCCGGGGACGGTGGCAGGAGCGCCTTGAACCTGTTGTGGAGAGCGTGGTCCCGCAAGTTGCTCTTCAGCGCAGCAAGGGGGCCGCTCCGTGGAGCCGCAGGGTCTGCCGACAGCGGCGATCTGCCCGGGGTGAGGTGACGGTGGGCACAGCGAAGGCCATGCTTCTTCCTGGGAGGCTCCTCGGTCCCTTCCAGCTTTCCTGTGGCCTTTGGCTTCCTGGAGCATTTGCCAGGCGGTGCGGCCTCCTGCGCTGGTGAGGCGGCTGGGCCCTCTGCCTCCGCAGAGAATCAGCCACTTGGAGGGCTCTCTGCCATCGGCGAAATTTTAGGCATGCCTGTTTCTTAAACGCCTGGCAATGTGGGTAGGATTCCACAGTGTGCCCTTTTCCGAGGCAGAGGCGGCACCGGGAAGTGGCCATCTGCAACCAGGAGGTGTGCGGTGCATGAGGCGCAGCTATGAAAGGCAGGGTTGGCCATTCAGCGAGAGGCTTCAGAGTATGCAGCAAAATAGAGGGGTGGAAGCGAAGGTGGAAGTCAAATTCCCCTTGGTCGTGTGTAGTGATCTGCGAGTGAGTAGAAGTAAGGTGGGAGAAAGCAAGCTTTAGTAAGAAACTAACATTTTTACTGTTTTTTTTTTAAAATGGGCAGAAAGGGAAGATTGAAGGAAGATCAGGTGGGAAAAAGTGAGTCAAAAATACTGATGCAGAAGCTTGTCTGATCAGGCGATGGAGCAACTAGCACAGCTGGAAAGAAACTGAGGAAGTGGGTGGGACCCTCCCTCATCCCAAAACACAGAAGGGGTGGGGGGCTCTTGTCCACTTCATGATGTTTCTCTCTGATCCAGGCCTTGTGCTACATGGCAAAGCCTCACAGGTGTGATGCGACCTTGACAAAGGGGAGCTACTTCCTCACATACCCCAGTTTCTTTCTTGCAGTCCCAGCCATCTGTCTCCAAACCCCACGCCAACCCACCAAATATTCCCAACAAAAGACATAGAGGAAAGCTGCTCTGCGTAGAGCAAAAATGCAAAAATGATCAGCTTGAGCCCTGGGACAGACGTCTCTTTCTTTCTGACTCCGGGCAGATGCAGCTGGGAAAAGGAAAATGGCTGGTGGCCTGCCCTTCGCTGGCCTTTGCTCCTCCACTTGGTTCCTCCAGACACACTGGGCTAGCAGCCCTCTTGAGAGACAGGGTGTAGGAACAGAGGCCGAAAGCAGGCAAGGGATCATATCCCCAAGCCCACCTCGTTACAGCAGTGGGTTCACTTAGGCCAGCCTTGCAGAAAAGGACAATAATAACAATAAATTACCAGCTCACACAGCTTCCTCCCCACCCCAGCTGGCACTCCCACCATGAGTGCGGCATGAAGCCCATGTTCAGCCTGGCCCGTTACTTGCTCAGCAAGAACTGCCGCTCACCCTAGGCGAGTGGCTGACTGCAAACTGCAGCTACACCAAGGCCCCCACCACACACACACGCACACAACAAACCTTGATCGCCCAGACACCCCAGCGCTCAGAGGGAGACGAAATCCAGCACCCCTCTGCCTGCCAGGGGTTGTTCCACAAGAGGAAAGGAGGGGTGTCCACATGGCCCCCGTCCCAAACTGCACCCCATGGTCCCCAGCTGACAACGAACGGTGTGGTGAGGCGGACACACAGACAGACACATTGACCAGAGGTATATTGTTGCAGCCTTAGGGTTCCTGGCAGCTGTCGGAAGGGCCACGTCCCAGGACTCAGCGCCTGGACGCATGCGTGCCTCTCCCACACCAGAGCCCAGATCGCTTCCTCCTCCCGGCTGTGAGATTCCCTTGCTCTCCTATTCTGACGGCAGCTCTGGATAAAGTGCATCATCTGTGGGGGTGGGGGGACCGCAAGGAAGGGGGAACCTGAGCAGCTCCCTGCCTGGCCCCAGGGGGTGGGAGGAAAGGCGCTTGGCGTGGGACACAGTCCGTCCCTCCTCCTCCTCCTCCTCTTCAAACTGGCGGCTCAGTGATGGCGGCTCGGGCATCGCCTGAGACAGGTGGGGCCAGAAAAAAGGCAGAAGCAGAGGAGCGGTGGGGCAGATGGGGCCATTTGTCATAGCGGCCGGGGCCCATGCAGTCCCGCCACCTCCGGAGTCAGCAGTGGGTTGTGTGTCCCCTTGGTAGACATCCAGTCATTCAGAAAGGCCTGGGCAGCTTTGCGGTGGGCCAGGCGGTGCGTGATGGAGAATCCAGCGTTGCCTTCCAGCTGGGACAAGATCACCAGCACCTGCCTGGAGGAGGAAAAATGGGGGGAAATGCATGAGGCAGGCCGAGAGAGAGGGACGCCACTTCCTTCAGGGCTGCAGGCGCCCAGCCAGACCTAGAAGCAGCAGCAAGGAGAATTCAGCCTGGCACTTGCCCCTGCCAGTTCACCCAGGCAGCAAGCATGGACACCTCAAGACTTCTTTCCAACTGAGAGCACCACAAGCTCTAGCAGCATATTTCCTGCAATGGCAGGAGGCTGGAGTAGATGCCCTTCATGGTCCCTTCAACTCTATGATTCCAATGCACGAGTTGTCTGTATGAGAACGGACTCGATATTCTGGATTCCTTCACCATTGTTAAAAAGACCAGGCATGTTGGACCTGAGCTGGGCCTCTTTGGCTAAAGTTGGCTCCTGATCTTTTATGGAGGGCACTGTTTGTAAGAGATGTTCTAGGAACCAATTTTAAGCAGCAGCAATTGGTGGGTAGATGCTGTCTCTCTGAACCAGTTTCTCATTTCTTCCTTAGAACAACACTTTGGATGCAAGTGCGATCATTTCTCAAGTGGCAGCTTAGTCTTTTGAGACGTTCATTCTTCTCATTGGGAAGGCAATGTGGACAGACAACTTTGCCAGCTGGTCATGACAGCCTTCTCTAAGGTGGTGCCCTTTCCAATGTTTTGGACTACTACTCCCAGCATTCTTGATTGCAACCATGATGCCTGGGGCCGACAGGATCTGAGTGCAAAACATCTGAAGGGCACCAGGTTGCACGAGCCTTGGTTACACAAACAGGCCAACTACCTCTTGCAAACGGGCGTGTATTCACTTCCCCAGGCTGGTAGGAAGGAGGACTGAAGCCTGCGCAACGGGGCACACAGGTGTGCGGATGAGCTTCTGCTCTCCTCTTGCTTGTACATGCCTAGCTTTTAGTGTCCCCCCATCCCACCATTTTTGAGCCAGGGGGGATCTGCACTTGCTCATGGGGCAAGAGGTGGCTCTTTATCCAGTATTCTAATTGGCCAGGGAATTCATTTTTCTGAGTTTCCACCATGAATGGCACTTCTACTGTCAGGCACTGAAATGGCCCTCTCACGGCCCTGCTCTCTGGCCCCTTCAGGCGCTTCCTCTCACCTGTGCAGCGGTGGCACACTGTCCTGCGTTTTCAAGCTGCCCCGTGTTGACACCACATTGAAGCTGTCTGTGCAATCACACTGGACGTGCAGGTAGGATTTGGGGTGCCGGTTCTCCACCACAACAATGAGACCTGCCCAGCCATGTGTCAGATAGTAGCAAGTCATCCCCTCGCGCCCCTGTGGAGGCAAACCAGCCAGTCAGTCCTCTGGCCTTGGCCACGAACTAGAGCATTCTCTCCACCGCCACCCAGCCCCTTGACGGAAGCCTACCAGCTGCGTGCCTGGAGCATGCCGGGAATTGTTCCCCAAAACGTCTGGAGAGTACCAGACGAAGGGATGACTGTGGTGGGACTTTTCCACCCTCTAGGAATGGGACAGCCCACTTCCAGAGAAAGGTGCATTTTCCCAGAGCAGCATGCATTAATAGATATCAGAGCTTTGTTGCCTTCCAGAAAGGCTGCTGGGTGATGGCAGAGGTTGTAGCCCGCCCTGTCAGGAGAGTACCAGGCAGGGGAGGATGGAGCAGACTATACTGGACTTATAGTACAGCAGAGCAGAAGAGAGGTTTGTGCACTGATATAATGCCTTCAGGAGCATAATCAGGAAGTGGAAAGGTCCATATCTCCATCATGGCAAACGCTATTCTGGGATGCATTAACAGAAGTATTACTTCCAAATCACGAGAAATAGTTCCCCTATACTCCTCACTAGTCAGACCTCACCTGGAATGCTGTCAGAGGCATATGACAGCAGAACCGCTTGCCTAGAGAGGTCGTGGGCTCTCCCATACTGCAGACATTCAAAAAGAAACTCGGCAATCATCTGCATGGGATGGTACAATCTGGTGAGCTGCAAGAGCAGGGGGTTGCACCCGATGGCCTTTTTATCCCCGCTGTTTTATGATTCTATGATCACTGGCTCCACCTGTTCCAAGTATTGTGCAAATTGACCCCGCCGTGCCCACTATCGGTTGCAAGTGTGTGCTGGCAAGTGCGCAGCTCTACACCCACCTCGTGCCGCTCGCCTTTGTTCTCTGTGAGGAGGATGATGGCATCAGCCAGCGTGGTTGACTGGGCCTCGATCTGCTCCACCATCACCAAGCGGGAACTGTAGATGGCCAGGATGTAGCTGGAGGCCTCAGCAGCTGAGCACCCACTGCCAGTAGTGGGACTGGGCACTGGGGAAGAAGGAAACAGGCATGTCAGGATGCAGAGGTGTCCATCCATCAGAAACCTGCCTCCCCACCATGAGCCAAAGCCCCACCTATCCTACCCTCTGACCTCTCTCTCTCCTGCATCCCCACAGCTCAGCAGAAAGCTCTGACCTGCCTTCCTGAGCACAATACAGGCCTAGTATTCAGCACAGTACAAGCTAGGCCTGAATGGAAGAGATGGAGTACTGAATTAGGCATGTGCCAGGGCTGAAAAGCACCTCAAAGCTGGACAAACAAACCCCAGCCTATTCAAAGACACAAACAACTCCCTCTGTGAACACTGGGAAAGGGAAAGCTAGGACTACAACCTTTAAGATGCTAACTCAAAACATTTAGGGTACAATCATATCCATAGTTAGACCAAAAAAGTCCTATGACATTATGTCAAAAGCAGGGCATATCAAATGCTGTAGGACCTTTTCTGTCTCAAGTTGCATTCTATTGTACCCTGAACTGGAGATCATTCATTCAAACCACTGGAGAACAGTTTTCAACTGAGAATAATGGGCAAACTGATTTATTATTTCAGGCTATTCAGAAAACACAATCAAAAGATGGCTTTTCCTCATAACAGCTCAAATTGCTAGTACTAACATTGTTTGAAGCTGGCTTAGGGCCAGGTTATCTGAAGGATCGCCTCATCCCATATGAAGGAACTGAGTCAGGTGGCTAACAGGAGTAGCTTTTGATTTTGGGATGAGTTCCCCAAAGAGGTGCACCTGCTCCCTACATTGCATCCTTTCTGGCGCCAAGTGAAGCCTTTTTTTTCTCCCAGTATTTTAACAATTTAATTTTTCACTTCATTTTTAATATTGCATTACATTCTGTACCACTGCTATGCTTCTGTGCTGATTCATTTGCAATTGTTGCTTTTCTTGTTATTCTTATAAGTATGCATGCTTTAATCTTTAAAAACACTTTTGTTAACCACCCAGAGAGCTTCAGCTGTTCAGCAGTATAAAAGTAATGATTAAATAAATAGACCGGTCCCCCCGCCCCCCGCCCGTTTGTCTCTCACAGGCAAGCTTCCTGTCGGAGCTGCAGGCCGGGCCCGCTGCCGCACTGCCATCACCGTGGCCTGAGGAGCTGCCCGTCCCCACGGTGCTCCAATGGTTGAAGGCGCAGCACACGACGGCGTACTCGCCCGGCTCCAGCATGACGTCGCAGTTGACGAACTTCTTGACGGCCCGCCTGCTGTGTGCCACCAGGCGGCCCAGGCTCAGCTTGCTGCCATTGATGAAGGCGGCTCTGAACACCATGATGCAGAGGTCCAGCAAGTGGCTGTCCACTGTGTCTGAGCGCCTGCCAAGCGAGAGGAGAGAAGGGATCCAACACTGCTTTCCACGGAGCGGGTCCTAGGCGCCATCCCCAGGATCTCCAGATATCCCGGGGACAACTTGGGTCTGAAGCCCCGGAGAGCCGCTGGCAGGCAACGTTGACAGCACTGATCCAGATGAAGCAATGGCTCAATAAAGTGAAATCAGGAGCCACTGTAAGAGCAGCTGAACTGGTTGCACTCAGCCAACAGGGAAATAGGAACGATGCGGCACGGTGAGACAGGAGGAATCTGGAATCACCCAGACATCCCAAGACAGAATGGCAGCGGAACTTGTCAAGTCTTCCACAGCATGGTGCCCTCCCAGTGTTTAGGAATACAGCTATCATCACCTCTGATTGTTGGCCAGGACTGCTGGGGCTGATAAGTGTTGCATTTCAAAAACATCTAAAGATTGCCATGATGGGCAAGGCTGCTCTAGATGCAGTTTCTCCAACCTGGTGTCCTCTGTTGCGTCGGAATGCAATGCAAATCCCAGAATTCCAGGCAGGCCTGGCTGGAAATTAGGTAAGCTGCCGTCCAACTGTCACTCCTACACATCTGGTGATTCTAGAGTGAAAAGTAGGACAGCGAACAGACATGCTTTTCAAAAAAATGAGAACTCAGTCACTTTTGAAAGCTTCCGAGTTCTGGGCCTGAAAAGAGTGACGATTGTGGAAGTGAGTATCTCTGAAGATACTGACCATTATGTGAGGTGGCATCTATCTGCATGCTTATGCCTATGTGTGTGTCTGTGTGTGTCTGTGTGTGCCTCTGTGACTAAGAAGGAACAGTTATTGATTCCACTGCATCTGGGAGAACTCTCCGGAGCCTCATCCCAGTGGTGGGTGGGACTGAAGGCAAAGAGGAAAGGGCCACAATGCAAAACCATACCAACATATTGTTGTGTGAAGTCTCGCTGCCAGGAACTACATTTAAGAGAGGCATTTCAAGCTTTAAGCATGGGGGAGACTGCACAAAACCCAGAAAACCACACAATGCTCACCGGCTGCAGGAAAGGGTTAGGGTCAGGCTCCAATTGCAGTCCAGCAACATGCCCCATCTGGCACAGACCAACAATAGCAGCGCTGTCAGCACCGCAAAACCAGAGTGTGGTCTCCACAGGGCATCTCCATCCTATGTGGATCAACCAGGGATGACAAAGCTAGGGAAAAGGGGGCTCACACGAGCGAGCCGAGTGCAGAACCCAGAGATGATGCTCACACAAGGTACGCAAATCCAGACAGCTCCACAAACTTACCTACTTCCTTCCTGGAAGAGGGCGAACTCCAAGGTCGCACGTTCCAGCACCGTCAACGAGGTCACTGTTACGGGGCCACTGGCCTTGTTTGGAAAGACTCCCTGCACGCGAACTTCATGCCAGTCCGAATGGAGCTTGCAGATATCCACTGAGTCGAAATACCTGCCAGAGGTACAGACCACGGTCAGCCCCAGAAGCCCCTGTTGTCAAGATCCGGCTAGTCTCCACCAGGCAGAAATGCAGGGCCATGAGCAAGGTGGACTCTAACGCCATGCTTTGCTGTGGCAAGCAACTTATTTTCAATGGCAACTGCAGAAACTCTCAGGAAGGAGCGAAGGTAACCATTTTGTGGCTAAGAGAACTTGGTTGTCTTCCATCTGTCATCACTGTAATCTTCATCTTCATTTCTATTCTGCCACACAGCCAAAGCTGTCTGGGCGGTTATCCCTTCTCTGACTGTTCTTCCAAACTACCGTGTAGCTGTGCACTCTGGCAGATTACGGGAGCAGCCACCAAAAAATCAGAAGCAAGTGAAAACTAATAGTTCAAAAGATGGCCAAGAGGAGCTGGGAGAACAGAGGAAACGATGCTATTTTTACCACCATTTTTAATGTGGAAAGATGATGGCTTCCTAACTTAAAATGTACATCAGCTGAAAATGTGACATACCGAATTCAAAGAGCCAGCTCAACACTCAAAGCCAGACAAAGGGGTGTTACTTGTCACTACTCACTTCCACTAGCTATGCTTCAGAAGTGTAAAATGGTTGCACATGGGGCCAGCACGGCTGGCTGGGGTATACCGGCAGTCATAAGACTTTTTTCTGTCTGAACATGCACAGGACTGTACCCTTACAAGATTAACTGTTTAAAGCTTGCAGCTTCACCCAGAACAATTTCCCAAACATTCCAGGCCACAGCAACAAGGAAGAAAATGATAACATAATAGGGAAAACATAAACAGCAGCATCAGATCCACTAAATTCTGCTTGGTGCTTAAAACACAAATTGCTATATTTGCATCAGACTCAGGAGATTCTCCACCACTTGATCATTATATAAGACATACAGCACCCAAACGTGAATCTCTAAAGGCAGCAAAACCAGGACATCAGAAGGCCAGGAACCATCTGGCTCTGTGCAAGATAGGAATACCTGATGAAGTCACTGTATTCCATCCAGAAGACTCCCTCGCTGCTCCCATGGGGCATCAGCTCATGCCTCAAGTGTGCAGGCCAATGGGGCCATTCATCAGACCAGCTGCCATTCCAGGAGAACCGTCCCCAGGGGTTACGGAGTCGCAGTAGCCTGAAAGGAGGATACATAGAAAGAAGAAAGGACAGAGTCAGACCTCAAGCCAGACATGTGCTCAGAACTGGCTGAAGCTTCTTTATGGAGTTATAAAATTCTACCCTGCACTTCTTTAAAATAAAAAAGAAAGAGTTTACCAGCAGAGAATCCAAGAGTCAGAAGCAATGTTTTGCAGAAGCCACAACTGACTCATTTCATTCATAACAAGAGGATCTGATTGATTAAGGAACTGAGAGTGCAATCCTTAGACATGTTTGCTGTGAAGTAAATCACATTGTGCTCAGTGGGACTTACTCCCAAGGAGCTGTGCATAGGATTACAAGGTAAATGGCTAAAAACATGCAGGAATGTGAGGCTTTTATTAGGACCACAACCTGCTTTTTTAAAAGGCTAAATTGATTAATCTTATTAGTTTCAGCCAATTAATTAAGACCAATTAATTAAGATTTGTATATGGATCAAGACTGATTTTTTAAATCAGTAGCCTTATTTTTAGATAATGCACAGATGTGTAGTAGCAAACATCATCTTGGGAGAAGCATTCAGAATGCCTCTTTTAAGATGTACATGCCATCTCCTTTTTAAGTCATTGTCCATCAGCTAAACTTTGCAGAGCTAGTTGTATGGGATTTCCTAGGAAGGCCGGGCTTTGACCCCCAGCCCTCTTGGGCATAAAGGAGATTCACAGCTCAGCTGTGTGTGTCTGTTCGATTCAGAAGTAGTATAGGTGGGAAGAGAGGCAATTATGCCTTACATCTTTGTATACAAGTTGGGCATGGCTGAAGAAATGTACCCAGATAAGAATCTCTTCTTGAGATTATGGGATGGATGAGCACCCTTTGGAGGATGGGCACCACCTTCCCCAGCTTTACTGGATGCAGACAGTTACAGAGAAAGCTGTCTTCAACCTGATGGATGCAGTAGCCTCTTTAACCCCAACCCACAATCTGGAACCCCCATTTATATTATTTACTGCCCCTCGTCATCTGTCTTGCTTGCTTTTTAGGATGGACAAGGCTCCTGCAATTTTTAGGAGCAATTTTATGAGGTGCAGCTTGCCAGGGTTGAGAGAGTATATATACCTTCCAGAATCATTTCTGCTGCATGAGAACTAGAGGAGCAAAAATTAGAGGCAGAAAACCTTCCAAATGTTTTGAATTACAGCGGCCATAATCCCTGACCACTGGCCATGCTGACCGGGGGTTATGAGAGTTGTAGTTCAAAACACACGGAGGGCGCCAGGTCATCCCATTTTATTTTTATTGCCCCTTTAGATTCGCTTTAAAAGAGCTAAACATCAAAGAAATGTTGGTGGTGCCACTAGTACAAACCCTACTCATGTCAGGTGGAGAACTGTTTGCAGAATGTGACCCCCACGCTGAACGCTGGTGGCTTAGCTAGATCTCAGTGGGCACCTCAAATCGTCCTAGCTGACCCCTTCTATATCCTGTCACAACAGCCAAGGCTGTGCAGGGGCGCTCACTGCAATTCGGAAATATTGAGCCCAGCAGAAAATGACTCGCTTCTAGAGGGTTCTCCCCTCTGCAGCTTCGCATCATTTCACCCTGGGGAGGGGGATGCAAAGAGCTGGGCAGAGAACAGAAATACTAGCCTTATTACACACAAGACACTTCAATTCACCGTATCATTTTTGCTGAGAAAATGTTTCAGCTTTTGGGAGAGACACAAATTGGAACAGAATCAAAATTACGGAATTAACCAACCAAAAAACAAGAAAGTAACGCTTGGTGATGGTGGGTTGAGGAAGCAGGGAGCGCAAAAACAATTGCATCTTAATGGAACAAAAATCTCCTGGTTCTATTATTTGAGAAATACCTCTGCAATATTAGTTCTTATACCTGCAGCTTTTTTCACTGATAATGCTGATCCCTTGATCATGGCGGCTCTTACAGACAAGACAGCTGGCTGAAAGGTGAAACAGCAACCAGCGATTTGCTGTTTTTGAGCAAGCCAGGATCTCAGCCTTCTCCAAACTGGTGCCCTCCAGATGTTTTGAACTTCAGCTCCCATAATTTATTTTATTTTATTTTTATTTATTTATTTTTCAATGTATAGCCTTCCTTTTTCCTACAAGGGGCTCAAAGCAGCTTACATCATTCTCCTCCTCCATCTTCTCCCCACAACAGCAACCCTGTGAGGTAGGTTGGGCTGAGAGTCTGTGACTGGCCCAAAGTCACCCAGTTGGCTCCATGGCTGAGCGGGGACTAGAACCCAGGTCGTCTGAGTCCCAGTCCCGCGCTCTTAACCACTACGCCACACTGGCCAATTCTAGGCCTGTATGGCTTCCAACCCAACTATGGGTGTTGCAATCTACCACTGGCCACGCTGATGGAAGTAATAGTCCAGAACATCTGGAAGGGCACCAGGTCATGGAAGGCTGAAGTAGCCAGTTTAATGGGGAGGGGCTCCGCTCAGCCACAGAGCATTATTTGCACCCCAAAAGGTCGCTCCCTTGCTTTTCTAAGTACGGCTAGGAAAGTCTCCAGCCTGAAACTCTGGAGAGCACCCCGCCCCTCAGTCATCGCTCAGAATCCTGGGTTTGATGGACAGATGTCCCCCAGGGCTCTGTCCTGGGGCCGATCCTGTTTAATCTTTTCATTAACGACATGGAAGAAGGGGTGAACAGTCTGCTGATCAAATTCGCAGACGACACTAAAACTGGAGCAGTGGCCACAACTGAGCAGGTACTCCAGATCCAAAAGGATCTGGACAGACTATGGTAGTGGGCAGGAGACAACAGGATGGCGTTCAATGTGGATAAGTGCAAGGTCTTGCACTTGGGGCACAGGAATGGGTGTCATAAGTACAGGTTAGGGGACAAGTGGCTGAAGAGCAGCACTTGTGAAAGGGACCTCGGGGTGCTGGCTGACTGCAGGCTAAAAATTGAGTCAGCAGCGTGATGCGGTGGTCAAGAGGGGGAACGCCACCCTTGGTTGCATAGCCAGAAGTGTGGCTTCTAGATCAAGAGAGGTATTATTACCACTCTACATGACTCTGGTGCGCCCGCAACTGGAGTATTGTGTTCAGTTCTGGGCCCCTCATTACAGAAAGGATATAGCCAGGTTGGAGTCAGTTCAGCGCAGGGCCACAAGGTTGGTGGCCGGTTTGCAGGGGATGGGGTATGAGGCGAGACTGAGGGAACTGGGCTTCTTCAGCCTGGAGAAGAGAAGACTCAGAGGGGATCTGTTGGCGACATACAGGTAAGTGAGGGGGTGTCACATGGAGGTGGGTAGAGACCTGTTCTCCCCTGCAGAGGAAGGCAGAACGCGCTCCAACGGAGCAAAGCTCAGGGAGCCAAGGTTCCATTTGGATGCCAGTCAGGACCCCGAGGGTGTGGAATGGGCTTCCATGAGAGGTCGTTGAGGCCCCATCGGTGCGGGTGTTCAAGGACAGGCTAGACGTCCACATGGTGGGCATGTTGTGAGTGGAGCCGGCTGGTGCCAGAGGTCAGACTAGATGGCCCAGGAGACCCCTTCTGACTCGCTCTGTTTCTATGTCTGGCTCAGTAGCAGGCTGCTTCCTATGGTCTTTTGCTTGGCCATTCTCACCTGCATCCTTGCACATCTCGTACATCCAATATGGAGTATGCATGTCGTGGACGAAGACCCATGCTCTCATAGGCTGCATCATCCACCTTCATATTGCCCCCTCCACAGGATGCTCCCATCAGAAAGCTGAAGGTTGGGAAAGAAAATGTGGGGATTGGGAGAGGAAAAAAGAGAGGACAAAGATTTGCATTCCACGGTTTAAGCATCAGGAATCACCTGGAGGGATGCAGTTTGGGGAGCTTTTAAACTTATTTAAGTATGTATTATTCCATATTTGCCATAAGCTGATTTACAATCAAAGAAATAAGGAACTAGCCAGGTAAGCCACCAATGGAGAGATGTCCCCCTCCCTCCACTGCTTCATGTGACACAAAAGGCAGGCATTACGGAAGCAGGAATCTCTTGTGCTTGTTAGAACTGGTCTGCAGCTGCATCAAAATGCAATGTTAGCACCCGGGAAGCAGCAAGTGGGCTGCACCAGACTGCCAGGAGTGCAGGGGAAGGGGTGTCATTTCTGAAAGAGCCCTTGCGTGGAGATGCTCAGCGCAGGCCAAAAACAAAAGCAGAACCATTCTGAAAGATGCTCGCACACCATGTGTCTTGCAGTACTTGCAGAAAAGTTCCTTTTACAGAGGAAAGCAGTTGAACATGGGAGAAGTGGAATGGTCTACTTTACCCCCCGCTTCTGCTGCATGCCTAGCGTGGGTCCCAGGCCCTGCTTTTGATATGATGTCTGAACTGGGCACCAACTCAAATGACTAAATTTTACAGGAAACAGTGAAATGCACACATTCCTGATTTGAATGCTATGTTAATAGCAGATATTCCAAATTTGAGCTTTTTGAAAATGGAAGGAAAAAACAAAAGGGTTGGAAGAGGCTTGTGAAGTCATGGACATGGTGCAGAGAGAGAGAATTTTGTCCCCCACTCAGTGCTACCGTGTGCAATTACTCAGGCAGGAGAGTGCAATGAACTTATGGGATTCGCTACCACACAATGCGGCTTTCATGCCTTGCAAAAGGGTTCTGCTGGATTAATGAGGAGGCACAGGGCCATTTACAGCTCTCAGCCTGGTGGTTAGAAAGGGCTGCTATGTATAAGAGAGCAGCACCTCTGAATACCGCCAGCTGCAGAATTAAGCAGGGGGATCAGCTGTGACCAGCAAGCACTGCTGGTGGCTTCCTGCTGAGGGATCTGGCTGGGGAGCCAGCAGGGCTCTTCCTACGTTCTCAGAGCTATGCAAGGGTTGCGTATCCCACTGGATGCCCTGTGCCAATGAAGCTTTTCCTGTGCTGGAGGTGGGGGACGTGGGTAAAGCTGCATCAGAACAGCTCAGTGAGAAGAGACTTGTTTCCTACTTCAGCCTGCTGCTCAGACCCAAACTGACCTGTGGGAAGGCAGGGGGTGGGGTGGGCAACCACACCATGTGATCTGGAGAGTGCCCCAAGGGGTTCAGTCCCATGCAGTCCTGTAGAGAGCACAACTTTCTACTACCTCTCAGACAGGACACACCACTCCATGGGCTCCCTTAAAAATACCCCTTGAGTTGCTTCTGCAGGCCTGTTTGACCCCTCCTATCTGCCTCCCTGCACAGACAGCAAAGTACATAACCAGAACAAGAGAGCCAGGCTGCATTCTTTTAATGGGAGGGAAGACTGCCTCAAAACCCAACACAAAGACTGCCAGGATATGGGGCAGGAACAGCCACCTAGTTTTATCCCCTACCAACCAGGAAGGAGAAAGGAACTTCCCATGTGTAGCCACCCAGCTCGTGCCTTTGCTTCCCTGAGAACGCACCACCGCTGACCTCTTGTTCCCCACCTTCCTGTCAGCGCCAGTCTTACTTCTGCAGGTGCTGCTCAGCTGTGCATTCTCAACAGCTCGAGGCAAAAGGGTGGTAACTGCCATTGCCATGCAAAGGGGCATCGTGTGCCAAGCCATGGATAACTAAATTTTTGAAATTCTCATGCCACTGGGCAATAGGCTGCCTTTGGCCTGATCTTCTTGGGGACCCTTAAATTACAACTGCAGCACAAATGCACCCAAAATGGCCAAATTCAATGCTGGGCAAGTGAGTCTATCTACCTGGGGGTTGGCTTGGAATGGAATCCTAGCCTTTTTTTTTTTTTAGCACCGTCAGCTGTTTGTGGTGCTTCTATGCTTTTAATGGAGTGGATATAGAGAAAAAACCAGGAGAGGGGTCTTTTCACAGATAGGGAAGAAACAGAACACCTTCCAATACAGTTTCTCATTAAAAAAAAAACAAAAACATAAAAATCTGGCGAACCATGGAGGTAGTCCCCAGAGCCTTTCCCCCCTATTACAGACTTAGGCTTCACTACTCCCTCTCTCCCACTCCAGGACAGGTAAGACCAAACTGCCTCAGTGGAGGATTTAACAAAGAACCTGCAGCAGTAGCCCTCTCTGCTTCCCTGGGGTTACTGCATAGCCACAACGAGTTCATCTGTGAACGTTTTGTGAACTAGCCTCCTCAACATCCTATCAGCACTGAACTGAATACTGGGATTTGTAGTATCTCTGTGCAGCTCCAGCTTACCCCAAAAGAGGGCAGGCAAGGAGTGGCTGGACCATGGCTCAGCAGCAGAACACAGACTTGGCAGCCACAAAGTCTCAGATTTTCTGGATAAGGCTGGGAAAATCTCCTATCGGAAGCCCTGGAGTCAACTTCCAGCCAGTTGACCCACACCACTCCAATGAGGACTTCCTGGGCCCTCAGGGCTCCCTCCTAACACCAAAGGACGCCATACGATGCTCTTGTGCCCTGCCCAGCTCTGCCAGTGGCTCAGGTGAGTTGTGGAAGGACTTGCAAGGACTCTACCTGTGCCACGGAGCACAGAGGCATGGGCCCGGAAGGGGCGGGAAGTGGCCTTAACTAGAGGATTAGGCCCACTTCAGTTCTTTCCCCTTTTCCCATGGTAACACCCCCTAAGTTCCAGCAGAATCCCTTTTCCCTTGGGTCAAGATGTGGCCTGAATGAATGACTGCAGGCAGCATAAATTCCAAGACCTCTGCCTGCTCTTTTGTGGGCTTGAAGTATTGGAACAAAGAAGGACAATGACACCGCGGGTGTGGACTGGAAAGGCATCTGGCTTGTGTGAATGTGGAAGGCGAAACACCAGTTGTAAGACCTGAGCAAGGGACCCATTGCTTCCAAACACAAGCAGGCCAGCCCAGTGACCTGGCCCTTGTGGGTCTAGCAATCGAGTCTGTTTCTGCTGATGGCGGGAAGGGTGAGAGGGCAGAATGGGCCCACTAAGCCTCCTGACATGGTGTTTATGCTCCACCCAGCTGAAGGGGAAGCCTCCCTCCTGCCTGGTCTTACCCAGCCTCCTTAGAACTCAGCATTTTGGCCCAGATGAGGTCAGTGTCAATGGGCTCCTCGCGAGGGTTAGTGGAGCTGACCTGAAGCATCAGGCTCTCGCAGGGGGCGCCGGTGAGCGTAGCCAGGCCTTCAATAGCGCGCCCTGCCTGGAGGGCAAAGTACGAACCATGGAGTTTGGCCAGGGCCTTCTCGATCAGGGCTACCCACAGCTGCTTCCTCTGGGCCTGAGGGAGGAACACAAGAGAACGGTTGCTGCCGAGGCTGCCAACAGGTGACAGAATCTCCTGCTGACGCCGCACCTGCATTTTATGAGACTGCACTTTTATGAGACACCTGCTGCTTAGAAATGGACCAGATGCTGCTTTACCCACTCGTGGTGCCCATGCTCCAGGATGGCTACCTTTGGCCGAGGCTGCATATTCTGCAGCTACATAAATTATCTACCCATCTGCATCCATCTACCCACCACCTCAGTTATGTCCACAGTTTACTCTGGGACTGGATTATACATCCGGGATCACATTCAAAATTTTTGATTCTCCTACACGGCCACAGTGTAAGACCAACCTTGGTCACATTCTGGGGTGGACAGAAGGCAAATCTCCAGGCCTCTGGGGCATCAACCCCCAGAAGCCCCCACCAGCTTGGTCAAGCGCCAGGAAGGCTGGGGCATGAATTCCAAAATATTTGCAAGTCCACTTTTGGTCACAATTGTTCTAAGCAAACTTCTAAATTGAAAGTCGGGCAACATGCCAAAGGACACACAGCAGAGCCTCTGCAGTAGGAGAACTGCTTTCACGTAACCCTATTAGCCACCTCCTCAGCACCCCCACCCCATCCATAGCCTCCCCTGCTATAATGACCGGTAGGAGGCCACACCAAGCCCCTTAACCAACCTGAGAGAAGAGGAGGTAGCCACACTCATCACAGGGCAGCATGTCATCCACCAGCACAGTGGTCCAGGTGCCATCTTTGCAAAGTCGGACCTGGTAGGCCCCCTCAGGGCACATGGTCCGTGTTATCATGACCCGTTCCACCAACTCAGGCCTCTCTGCCAGCACAGCCAGGGCACTCAGGAACCTAAAAATGAAACCCAATTAATCCCAGAAGGCCCCAGAAGAAACCCGAGACTGCTAGGAGCTCAACAGAACATCACTGTGTGCATGAGACAGAGGACAAAACTCCCTATTTTCAACGGCGGAATTGAGCTCAAGTTCCCTCAGAGAAAAATCTAATTTGGGCTTCCCTGATCCTTACTTCACTTCAGTTGTGTCATTCTGGAGACAGGGAAGAGTTTTTGGTTTTGTTAAACAAGAAAGAATCAGAGAGCATGGCCAGATCTATTGCAAGTCACCTAGAGATCTACCAGTAACCCATGATCCATCTGCAGGCCGTGCTATAGAGCTGCAGAAGCATTTGCAGAGAACGAAAACTTGCATTTCGTTAGCAGTCCTGCGCTCTCCTACAAGCAAGCCCTGTCTTCTGCCACACTACAGGATGCTCTGGAAAAGGGATGAGCAGAAGGACAATCAGGATCTACTGGTCAGTTGACAAGGGGTTCTCGACTCTCAGCTGTGCGACAGCAACAACTATTAAGAACTGTTGTTCTTCTAAATCAAGTTGATGAGGAATAATGCTTGTCTGTCTGATCCCTATGTTCCAGAATTCTGGGAAGCTCCCTTACAAATCCATCCATATGAAAAAGATTCTTTGAAGCTGGAATAATTGAAACCACTGGGTTCATGGGACAAAAGAGGGGTGCGTGTGTCTGTACTCCCTCATCTGAAAGTCTTCCATCTGGGCCTTGGCTCTAGCCCTCACCTGAGGACCCTACAGGGGTTCTTCATGCTGCCCCTGCTGTGGGAGGAAGAAGCCCAACATACCTCCTTGCTCTCCCACCTGGGAAAACCAGGGTCGCTTTTAGGCTTGACTGGCCCAAATGTACTCAAGGCTCATCAATGCCACCAGAGGGCAGCCTCTGCCTTCAGTCTGCAGAGAGAAAAGAGCTGACCGAAGGCACAGGCAAGCCCAGGGATGTGGAGCCAGGTGAAGCCATGTGCGAAGGTGGCAGTGGTGGCAGAGGCTGGAAGAGAAGACTCCGCAGAGGAAGGCAAAGGTGCCCCAATCGGCCACTCTCACCCTCACCTGCCTCACAGGCCGGTCCTTGCGGAAATAAAATGCAGCGGAGAACGGTGCCAGCCACCTTGGGCTCCTCACAAGAGGAAAAGGAGGGGATATAAATGCAGTATCATAATCGCAATATGCTCCCAGCTGGAATCTGCAGAACGTGATATGGAGGATAAGCACTATCCTGGAAAACTCCCGGGAGAGGGAGGATCCCTGAGAGCCACAAGGACCAAGGGATGGAAGCTCCAAAGAATCTATTCCTCCCTCTTGTGTACAAAGGGCACCGGCTGGGGCCTTTCAGGATCTCCACTCTTTATAAGGAGCTGCCACACGAGGGAGGACCAAGTTGCCATGTGTTCTCACCAGCAATTTCCCAGGAGCCCCTGTAGGATGTCCGAGGGCCGAGGTGTCCGGAAAACAGACCACTTGACCGAACGGTCCTTGAAGATGCTGCAGTTGATCTCGTGAGGCCTCAGCCACTGCTTCACTCGCTGCTGGACACTGTCCCCCTCAGGGAAGCCCACTGACTTGGACCCTGGAGGAAAACTGTCATCCACAAAGTTGACCTTGTTCTGCAGACAGAAAATTTAAGAAGTTAAGGAGTTCTGGGTATTGGGTTTCAGTTTCATGCAAAAGCAGGGGCTCCCTTCACTTGTCTGGGTGGCAGTGCTGTGACTCACACGACCAGTCCATAAAAGCCCACCGGAAGGCAAGTAAGATGGCTGGTGTGGGAACCTCTTTTAGCTCAATGTCAAATTCAGTTTTAGAGAATGTCTTGCAGGCCATGTTCTAGTGGCTGGCAGAGCTGAAGGCAATGGGGAGAGTGCCAAAAGGAAAAAACAACCATGCATACCCTAGCTTAGCGATCTTTACTGCAAGTCACAAGTCCTTAAGAGAAGAATTTCAACTTTCAGAAGGACAGAACATGCCATTAATGCCAAAAAAACAGCCAAGGGCTGGTGGTTAGGGGAAGGAAATTAAGGTCATTTGGGAAACCCTGGAGAGCTCTACTGGAACCCCACAAGTGCGGGGGGGGGGAGGGAGATTTCTCACCCCTGGGATAGAGCAATGTTCAGAGGGAATAAAGAGGAGCAGAAGCTGCCCATCAGTCAACCAACCCAGGTCTGTTAATAGTGGGCCCTGTCCAGAATGTCCAGCAAACATGGAAGCTGGACAAACATGGAGCTTTCCCTGGAAACCCCAGTGGTGGTGGCAGCAGCGGCGGTGGCAAGGAGCGCTTTCCTTCAGCTTTGGCTGATCCATCAAATGCACCCCTATCTGAATGGGCAGTGACTGGCAGCGGTGCCCCATGCCCTGGTAACTTCCCGATAGGACTACTGTAATGCGCTCTATGTGGTACTGCCCTTGAAGATGGTCCAGATACTTCAACTGGACCAGAATAGAACCGCCAGGTCATTAACAGGGACCGGCAGGTATGAACATATAACGCCGGTCCTTTTCCAGCTACACTGGCTTCCAGTGAAGCCTGAGACCAATTTAAGGTGCTGGTGATCACCTACAAAGCCCTAAACGGCTTAGGGCCTGGTTACCTAAAGAAGCATCTCCTTCCATATGTGCCTGTCTGCCCCTTAAGATCTGGGGCAGACGCCCTTCTTCAGGTGCCCTCCCTGAAGGAGATTAGGAGGGTGACTGCCCGGAGAAGGGCCTTCTCTGCGATGGCACTCCAATTGTGGAATTCGCTCCCCAGGGAGGTTCGCCTGGCGCATCACTTTATTCTTTTTGGTGCCAGGCCAACCCTTTTTATTTTCCCAATGTTTTAAGACCTGACTGTTTTAATTGGGGTTTTATTATTAGTTAATAAATTTTTAGGACACTGTGTTTTAATTTTTTTTTTTACATTTTGTATTGTTAAACCGTCCCAAGACTTCGGTAATGGGGTAGTCTACAAAAGTTTTAAATGAATAAATAAATAAATCTCTTTCTCAGGCCCCACCATCCAAGAATCACTTTATACAACCAGCCTGCACATTCAGAAAGGCATCTAGAAACATAGAAAACAGAGCGAGTCAGAAGGGGCCTCCCGGGCCATCTAGTCTGACCTCCGGCACCAGCCGGCTCCGCTCACGACATGCCCACCATGTGGACGTCCAGCCTATCCTTGAACACCCACACCGATGGAGACTCAACAACCTCTCGTGGAAGCCCATTCCACACCCTCGGGGTCCTGACTGTCAGGAAGTGCTTCCTGGCATCCAAACGAAACCTTGGCTTCCTGAGCTTTGCTCCGTTGGAGCACATTCTGCCTTCCTCTGCAGGGGAGAACAGGTCTCTACCCATCTCCATGTGACATCCCCTCACATACCTGTATGTCGCCAACATTTGCATTCCCAGAGAGGTTCAAATCCCGTTTTAAATTTTGCCTCACTAGAATCTGGTTAAGGCCAGTGGTTGGTTCACAGGTTTAAAGAAGGCCCCACAAATCCAATTGGCTACAGCAGTAGCTGGGGAAAGCTGATTTCAACCCTAAAAGTAAGGCAAGCTTGAGTGGGAGCCCCAGCCTATGAGCAGTTTGCACAGAAACACATGAAAAATGTATGTTTATAATTGTGGAAGAGAGTGACAGAGGGCCTTTTCAGTCATGCCACCTCCTTGATGGAATGCCCTCCTTGGCAGGCTGGCCTGGCACCAATGGCTTTGCTTTTGTGGTGCCAGGTTAAAACATTTGTATTTGTCCAGGGCTTCTAGCCTGGCATGTGAACTGTGCAGGCTTTCTGCTGCTCTGCTAAGTTTTTTAGTTATGGATTGCTTCCAGTGCTGCTGCTATTCTTAGTGTTTATTGCATTGTTGTCCATTTTCCTGCAGGCTGCCTGTGGGCCCTCCTGGGAGGCAGGGGACGGAAGCCCCTGGCCTGCGGATATTCCCCATTCAGCCCAGGGAAGCCTTGTCTCCTTCCAGGAGTCTCCCCCTTCACAGTCTCCCAGGAAGGGGGCAGGAGTCACTCTACCATCCCCAGCCATGGCTTCAGGCTTCAGCCAATTCTCCTTCCCTTTGGGGAGGATGCGGTGTGGGCGAAGGCACCCCCACAGGAAGCACCAGATGGTGGTTCAGCACCCACCTTGGTGTGACTAAATGGCATAATGAGGCATGGCCAACCTCATGGCATCAATTTGCCCATGGGGGGGGGGTTTGGGATGAGAAACATTCAGCTGCCTGCCCTACCCAACTCAGTTACTTTTCTGCTGAAGGGTAGTCTAATTATTTTTAAATAACTGACAGATATAAACACTGCACATGGGATTTTGTTCCATACAGGCAAGCCACAGCAAATGCACATCACCAGCATCCCTGCTCTGCCCCCGCTGCTGCACACAAATGGGGCAAATCCTTCAAGTCACTTCAAGTGTCTGGAAAGAGGGGCTGCCTCTTCTGTCACTGCAAAAATCAGGACCATGTCATGGTTCAGGGATGATGCAGTGAGAGAAGTCAGAAATGCCACCTACATGCTCACACACACACACACAGACTTGGCTGGCAGCACAAAAGCCCTGCATGGAGGCTGCCTGAAGTTCCTGTGCATCACTCCTTCTTAAGTCCAGCAGAACACACCTCAGCTCAGAGGACCCGTTTGATGTGGCCTCCTTCACCACAGGCCCCAGGGAAACAAGACAACCCTTCATCACTGAAGCCTCTGTGTGGTTATCTATTAACGTACATGGGGAGTGGCCATTTCCCATGGCTGCCAAGGGTGAAGGCAGAAGACACCCACTCCTGCTCATCCTGCGAGGCTTACGCTCCCTTCCTCTAGCTCAGCACCCTCTTGCCAACTTCTTTACAAAGGGAACTTAGCAGCCTTCCTCTACCAAGCACCTACTGGCTATTTCAGTCTACAACTCCCATCAGCCCCAGCCAGTGTGGCCAATAGCCAAAGATGATAGGAAAGCTGGTCCAAAGGATCTGGAGGATACCAGATGGAGAAAGGTTGGCCCAGAAGGTCAGATATTTAGGGGGGCCAGCTCAGGATGGGAGAGGGAATATTGCTGATAGTTTGGTATAATCAAGGGTAGACTGTGATCCAAAGAATAAAGCAAGATTTGACTAAGGAGGATTAGGAAATGGGGGCTGGAAGAAGCAAGTCCCACAATTCCCTCTGCTCATTACAGGGCTAGAAGAGCACGAGGAAGGATGACTTGCCACTGAAAAAGAGCACAGTATCATAGCGCTAAGCTAGGACTGAGGAAGCTCCCTCAGCTATGAAGTTTATGGGATGACTTGGCCAGTCACTCCCACCTCTCCTGGTTGAGAGAGGTGTTCGAGATCAAGCAAGGCATTAGTGCTTCTCTGTAAGACTCCGGTGCACCCACAACTGGAGTACTGTGTCCAATTCCAGGCTCCACATTGTAAGAGAGACATGGCTATGTTAGAATCGGTTCAGCGTGGGGTCACAAGGTTGGTAGCTGGATGAGGGGGGGATGCCATGAGAGATGAGATTGAGGGAGCTGCGTCTTTTCAGCCTGGAGAAGAAGAGAGTCATAAGGGACCTGATAGCAACATATAGGCATGCAAAGGGATGTCGCATGGTAGAGGGTCGTGAGCTGTTCTCCCCCGTGGTGGATGAACGGACGCATTCCAGTGGGGCAAAGCTCAAGGAACTGGGTTTTAGGTTGGCTGTCAGGAAGTATTCCCTGACAGTGAGGACCTCTAGCATATGGAACGGGCTTCCCCTGGTGCCGGTGAGGGCCCCATCAGTGAGGGTGTTCATGGAAAGACTGCACAACCACATATTGAGCATTGCATGAGTGGAGCCAGGAGTCAGACTAGATGGCCCAGAAGGCCCCTTCTGACTTGCCGTGTTCCTGTGTAACCTCCCTCCACACCGCTTGTTGCAAGGTATGTATACTGCACTATGTACACTGGTACGAGCTCTCTGGTAGGTATTGTGCCCGTGCCTCCTGTCAGAGCTCAAGTGTGCACAGGGGAAGCCACCTGTCCTGGCAGAGCTGATGACTCAGATTCTGAAGATGAGACTGTTTTTCAAATGGCTCAAAGCCCAGCTGCGGTCCAAGGTCCTGAATCTCTGCAGGAACTAGATACGGGGGAGAGTAGCCCAGTCTACTCAGCTGCGGGAACGAGGAGGAGCTGCAGCCTCCTGAAGGAAGGGACACTGAAAAGGGTAGTTTTTCTGATGGAGATCTCCTGCTCCTGACCTGATCATGAGCTGTCATCTTCGGAGAGAAGTCCAATTAGGGACACGGAGGGCAGAGTGGAGGTGTGCCTGCTTTCACAGCGCTCCTCTCCCAAGGGAGAGACGCAGAAGGGCATAAACAGAGTTTCGGGTAATGAATGTCAGAAAGGGCTCAACGTTTCACTTTGTGTCTGCTCAGAGACTTCTATGTAACAATAAAGATTTTCGGCAAAGAAACACTGGTGAGATTGAAATTTCTTGGAGGGAGAAGCATGCCTCAAGACAGTAGGAAAGGTAACATATCCATTCCTCAATCTATCACAGGTAACTGCAAAGCAGGAGGGGAAGCATTCTGCCCCGGAAATGGCTTCTTTTTTCTGCCCTCAAGGTAAGCAGTTTGTCCGAACACAAATGATATAAAGATGCTTAAGATGTGCCTTGGGGGCATTTCATTAAGAGACAGCTAAGCAGCCTTATGCATGAAAGATGCAACGGAAAATCAAATCATAGTGATCAATATGGATAATGCAAACAATGTCTCTGGACAGAGGTCAGGATTTTGAAGGATGGGGGCTGGTGCAGCGGTTAGAGATCAACACCAGAGGGAGCTGCTAGAGCAGCCGACCAACTCCGGCCATATTCACAGAAACCTTCGGAAAATGTCTCATCCTGAGTCGTCCCCTTGGTTCAGCCATATTTTCAGCACTGGCTGGCAGCAGCATTCCAGGACTTCAAGCAGGAGGCTTTGCTGCCGTACCTGCAGAGGGCAGGAATTGAGCCCGGGACGCCAAGCATGTGCTCTGTATGTCTGCGGAAGCGTTGTATGCAGGAGACCCAGCTCAGTGGCAGGACCCTTGGTCTGTGCACAGAAGCCCTCAGCCCTGGCTGCCAGGTCCATCCCAGGCTTGTCCTGCAAAGGGACTAGACAGCAGGTGACAGGGAAGCCCTTCGCCGGGGTGCCTGAGACCCTGAGGCGCACTGCCACTTAAGGCCAGCATGCCAATGGCCCGACCTGATCTACAGAAGCGAATCTAACCCATGGTCCAACATGGCCATGGCATCCATAACAACCGGATATTCCAAGGAAGCCAACCATGAAAAGGCTGCATGACCCAGCAAGAGATTCAGGCGGATGCGTGTCTGTGTGTATGCAGATATGCTTCGATCGGAGAAGCAAAGCACTTGAAAAAGAGCTTAACAGCAACCTGGTCAGCCCTAATTCAGCCCAGAACAGCAGAGCACTTTGGGGACAGAATGTGTGGACTAGACTCTGTATACTGCTCAGTGATGAAGAGCCTTGAGTGCCTGATCTTGCCTAATCTTGGAAGCTAAGCAGGGTCAGGCCTGGTTGTAAATCTGGATGGGAGACTTGAATGTTGTGCATCACCTAGAGAACATCAGCTACAGATGGTATAGAAATGTAATGTAATAAATAATGATAATGCTTAGATGATTAATTGGTTTGTTGCCTTAAAAGACTTTTGCTTAAAAATAATTGTAATGAATAGAGAAACAAGCAAAACTTAACCAATTAAACACATTTTAATCAATTAGAAGAAGGCGTTCCTAATTAACCAGTCAGCAATTTTAAAAATAAATTATTGTATTGTAAGAACTTATAAAAATTGCACATGGCCACCTTGGGAAAGGTGTTCTATTGGGTGTGCATGAGGGGAGGGAGAATGTCTCTCCCAAGAATATGCGTGGTGAATAACGCCTATTTCACCCCAAAACAAATCATACATTTTTTCAAAAGAACTGGTTTCCCATATGCACATTCAACTGATTAACATTTGTGATTAATTGGCAATTGCAGGAGTAGCACAGAGAGCACATTTATACAGTACTTCAATGCATTCAGTGGGTTTTGCATACATTATCTGCCAATTTTCCACCCACCCTGCAAGACTGATTACATCATTCTCTGGCTTGCAGATGTGGGCTGAGGCTGAACGTGATCACTTGTTTAAATTCACTCGTGATCACTTGTTTAAATTCACTCCGTGATCCAGTAGCTGAGGCAAGGTGTCAGCTTCGTGACATAATCAAACTAAGCACCCGGGCATGACATCTGTTTAGCACTGTCCAAGGCCAGGTTCCTTGATCATTCAGTCTCCTGCACAGACCTCTTCTCAGGACCTCAAGACTACTGGCCACATCCAACTTTCTGAGGTGCCAGGTATGATGCTCCATGTCTCTTTCTCCTGACCATTAATCGTTTCCTGGTTTGCCAGCTTTTGCTCCATTTCGTCCCCATTCTAATGTGTCTCCTACGGCTTTATTACTGGCACTTTAAGATAAAACAGCTTGGTATTCTGACTAGCTCCCTTTTTCATTTGGCCTCACCCAACCACTGGAACGCCGCAATCCTATCCTTGCGCTGCGAGATGGCCTGCACTCTCGTTCCATGGTTTCGACAAGCAGTGCCCACAGACTTCCTTGCTTAACCTTGCAGAACCTAAAAGGGCATTTTCTGGCACGCACCAACTTTTCCCCGACAAGTGCAAAGCAGCAGGCAGAACAGAGAAAAGGACTCACCTCTTGGCAGAAGGAGACGATGTTTTCCCAGAGGGCTTTGGCCTCCCCCTCGTCCGTTTGCCGCCGCTTCTCTGCATGCATGCTCTCGCGCCGCTTGAGCGGCTTGGCACCCTTGCGCTGGGCCATGTACCCCTGAGGGGTGTGGCAGGCCACGCAGTGCTTTGCTTTGAGCTCATTCAGCAGGGTGCAAGCTGGGCAAGGCCACTGGGTGGGCCTTTCCAGAGTGCCTGGGGGCTGCGAGGGGAAGAGGCGGGCCACTTTTCGTGCTGAGGGGGCTTTGGCATTGCACGCTGAGCAGAAAGCCTTGTCCGTGCCTGCACACTCGGGGCATTTGGAAACTGGCTCCCCCTGCAGGCCGTGCTCCTGGAAGCCGTGCAGCTTAGATGAGCCACAAGCCTTGCACTTCTGGGAGGCGGTGGGGTTCTTCAGTGTGCACTTGGAGCACGACCAGGTGGTGAAGTCTGGGCTGGAGGGTCCACAGGGAGTGAACCGCACGGAGTCCCCTGTCAAATCAATGGTGTCGCTGCCCTTCTGGGTGTTGCAGGCCTCGCAGGCGCCACCCGCTGAGGTGTTGAGGAGAGAACAGGTGCTGCATTTCCAGGGTGAGGGGCTCACCTCCATCTCCTCCTCCAGCACACTCAGCCGCTTGGTGGCCATCAGCTCCTGGAAGCGGAGGGCCTTCTGCACGGGTGTCGGAGGGGAGGCGGGCTGGGAGGCCTCGAGCGCCACTGGCTGCATCTGGGGGGGCACCTCGCGGCGGCTGCGGGGGACAGGGTTGTTTTGCAGGCCAGGGGAAAAGAGGCTAAAGCTTGGCGTCTTCTGGCTCTCTTGCTCCATGGTGGCTGTGGCTGGGTTGACGGCGGGGTGGCTCTCGGCAGTCTCCGCTGCCGAGCCAGGCTGAGGCGTGGAAGGTGCTATGTGGAAGCCGGCCGGAGCAATCACCTCAGGGACGACCAGAGCCTCTGGGGGGATCTTGGGCAGCGAGAGCTTGCGGGGCCCGCCGCAGGCCGAGCAGGAGTTGGCCATGGGAGTGTTGTGCAAGGTGCAGCGCTGGCACGCCCAGCCATCCTCCAGCCCCGTCCCCTCGGGGCTCTTCCCCCCAGAGTCCTCACTGGAGCTTTCTACCTTGGGCATCTCCTCCTTGCAGGAGCCCTTGGGCTCAACCAGGATGGTGGGCTTGGGCAAGACCCCATTGATGATGGGCAGAGGGGAGCCCCCAGGCCCAGGCTCAGGCGTGAAGCCACACAGCTCGCAGGCCTCTTTGCCCAGGAAATTCCGGAAGGTGCAGCGGGCGCAGGCCCACTTCTGCTCCTCCACGCTGAGGCGCAGGATGTGGTTGAGGTCAGGTTTCTGGCGGGGGGCCTCGCAGATGGAGCACTGCCGCTGGCCCACAGGGTTCAGGAACGTGCAACGGGTGCAGGACCATTCTCGCACGGCAGCCATAGAACCAGAAGAATGGGTGTGGCTGCAAGAGAGGAGAAAAGGAAAGCGGGAAAGGGCGTTACTGGACACGGGAAGAAGACGCAGCCATTAGCACTTGCCTTCACCTTCGGATGCTGCAGGGCCCCAACTCCCATCGGTTCTGGCACACGGACAGGGGTGGTGGGCGCTGTGCCCTGGCAGCCTTTGGGACAGCCTCTTGCAGCCTGGGGCCTTCCAAAAGCGTTCGGACTGGGGGAGTTGCAAGTCTGACCTATCTGGGGAGCACCAGGCTGTGGATGGTTCCTCACCTGACTCAGAAGATGGGATTCAATCTGTTTGCTCCATAAACCAACAGCAGCTCAAAGAGTCCTCTCAGTGGCACAACTCTCCCGCCATTCACAGAAGCCCCCGTCCCCAGAATGGCTATACTGCATGCCGTTCATAGCCTTTATTTAGTGCACTTTAAAATGCATGCTGCACTTCACATATAATTTTGCAAAACCCTTGCGAAGTATGCCAATGTTACCTCCTCCTACGATGAAATTCGAAATGGCCATTCCCTATTTCCAGTCCTGTGGGCACCCTGCTCAAGGGGCTGGTAGCAGCCAGGCAGGACTAAAACCCTGGAGGTTCACTGAGCCAGATGGACTAAGGTTTAGATAAAGGTTTTCAAGGTTCTTCGCCCATCCCAACCACATGGAAACCAATCAGCCAATCCAAACTGGGCAAGCTGCCTAAGCTAAAGGAACCTCATTATGCTGAATTACTCCATGTACAATTCACCAAATGGTCTGGAAACTCCCACTTCAACCGCTACAGGTGTGAACTTGAGACTTCAGAGGGGCACCTAACTAGGTCACTCAGAGGCAGGGGCCTTGACCCCAGAACAGTGAGTGCAGGATTTCGTTTGGGTTTCTCAAACGGAGTTCCTCCTTTGCGCACCGGAGGATGGGGGAAGGTCTGCTCGGCATCATCATCTGCAGCACCCAGCCCTCCCTGCATCTCTCTTCCCTGCTCGCTGTCGTTCTCCTCATCTGCCTCTGCTGTTTCCTCTCCCTCCCCTCCCCTTCCCCTTTCCAGCTGCCCAATTATTTTCAAGCCCTGGGATGCTGCTGTCCTAGTTACAAGGACATCGCTGCCTGCCATGTGCACCCTCTGCCTGGCGCCTGACCAGCAGCAGGGAAGGAGGAATGGCAAGGGACCCCCTGGTGACACTCACGCTGCTCGGGCAGAGGCTCTTTGTTTTCGTCCATCTGGGCCTCGCCAACACGCACCTGGCAGATGTCTTTGCAGTGTCTTGCCGGCGTTACAAAGAGCCAGACACCGCAAGGACCATCCAGCGGGCCCCTCAAGCCAGCCTCTCCCAACATTCATCCACTGCCTTGGCAGTGTGTGCAAGAGGAGCAGCCAAACAGTGCTCCCTCCTTCTCTCAGAACCATTTCAGGGGCTTGAAAACAATCCTAATGGACAAGAAAGAGCAGACAGCCAGAGACCCATGACTGAAGTCTGAAATGTTGACAGTATTAGGACCTAAACTCTGGGCAAACATGAATACCAGCTGGGGGCTATGAACCGGACAGACCTACTTCAATTTGCTTCCCTCCATAAGATCCCTGCTTCTTATCATATATCCCTACTGTTCTAGATTTTTCCCTATTGCATGTGCTAAGGATTATTTAAAATATGATACACAGAGAGCTGGGACAGCTTAGTAGCTAAAAGCAGCAGCTATTAATGAAATTTGACTCTTGCTCATGGCACTCCCTAGACAGCCTTAAGCTGTCCACTCCCAGTCATAGTCCCCACAACTGCAATATGGGTGGGTGTGGGGAGAGAGATAATGCTGATATACCTTACTGGGTTCTTGTTATAACGTTTACAGCCACATCAGCCGCATTTTCAGCCTGACTATTGGGAACTGTGGCAGCTGCAATACAACTGGCGGAAACACGGATGGGGAAGGCCAAGCTAAGCCAAGCATGTGCAGCACTCTTGACAATGCAACGCAAGTGGTTTGTGTAACAAGCAGTGCAATACAATCCCAAGCACACTACTTTCCCCTTCTGGTGCAACCCCCTGAAATCCTCCACAAGTCACAGCTGTACAGGATATGCTTAATATACATAACAAGACAACCAATGCGAGTACGGCATACCAGTGAGTATTTCTGTGGGACAAGAAAAAAAGAAGATTACCTACTCACTAAAAGGTGTCTAGTTAGTTCTGGGACTCCCCCCCCCACCCCCACCCCCCAAGAAAGCTGGTTCTGCTAATTGTGCTAGCCTCTCGTGAACAGAAGGGATACCTTGCAAGTCCCAGCCTTAGTGATTGCAGACCCCTCTAGAATCCATCTGGCCCCTATATAGCAACCAGATAAATAAGCATTTTGGACTCGTTGCCAACCATCTTATCAACAAAATGGCAAGTCAGCCAATTTCCAAGCTCCGAGAAGTGTTCCAGCATGATCTCCATTTCCATGTTATATTGTTCACTCTAGATTAAGGGTGGCCAATTTATGGCTCAGCAGATGCTTTAGTTTATGACTCCCACCAGCCCCAACCAGCATGGTCCATGGTGAGGGGAGGGACAAATGAAAGCATCTGCAGGGCCGCAACTGGCCCAAACCTGCTTTCAACAGATCACTCCCATGAGCACCATGTTTTCAGCACAGGTTCGCTCAGCAGTCGAAAGAGATGTCTCGAGGTAGAATCAGCTGCCTCCAACTCTCCAGAGGACCCTCCTGGAGCTCAGGCTTGGTGCAATTCCCACAGTATGCACTACCCATACACTGCAGGTCTTTTCCAGGAAAATGAGCACGCCTGAGGATATGCAAAAAGCTCTCCGGATGGGATGTCACGGGCACTTTCCAAGGTAGCTGCTGGAGTGCCTCGCTCGCTCTGTGCCTACCCTTACGCTGCAATCTGCATCCGCCCTTCAGTGTTGGCCTCCCAGTTATGGAATGCTCCTCCCAGGCTTGGTGGCACCAACACCGTCCCCGTCCCAGGGACAGGTTCAGCCTCTCCTTCACTCCCAGGCATCTGACAGCATATGATAACCATTTTATGGTCGGCTGTTGCAGGACCGTTCTCCATTTCTGTACGCAAATGGTTTTACACTGCATTATGATATTACATGTTTGGCAGTTTAAGCTTTGTACACTGCCTATTGGCTACTGAATGACACAGAATGTGATGAATGAACTCTGACCTTTGGCCATGACGGTTGGGACATATGGAAGTTGTAGTCCACACCATCTGGACAGCCAACCCACAATCAGACCACATAAACCTGGAGTTAAACCAGGCCTTCCAGATGAAACCTAAGTGCCCCACCGCACACACCCCACTTTAGAAGGTGAAACACTGCTTTCCTGTGACCGCCGTTACATTTCCTTGCACAGGGAACTCGGAAAAACAGCATCTAAAAATACTTAACGCCAGAAAGCACCCAGAAGCTTCAGTCAACAACACTGAGGATGGGATAATTTCCTGGAATCGGAGGGCCTTTCAAACTCTGTTTCCCACCCCACCCTCCCCAAGCTGCTGAGGCAACCTTTCCTTTTCATCTCAGAAATTAAACCACTGTAATCCTGACTTCCTTTCCACTGCAGTGAGAGCATCGGATCAGTCAACTCGCAAAGGATCTAAAAGAAAACTGTCCAAGGCCTACAATTACTAAGGACTCATTTCTTAGTGCAGAAAGGAAACTTTATTGGGGTTTGAGTGGTTCAAAATTCCCTCTTCCCAGTTGCCGAAGTTTCCTTTGCTTAAAATTGAGATAAATGTCAAAAAGCAGCTGCGGGAACTAAGACAGTTAAAGAAAACCTCACTGTCCAGGTGCAGTATATCTGTGGAAACCATAAACTGGGGATAAATCACCAAAGAGTTTTTATTCCAATTACAGGTGTTAGCTAGGGCTTCCCAAGCCATGGTTTTGAAGTTCATATTAATATTTCTGGTCATTATCAATTTTACATACATTTAAGCTTCTGCATAGGGTCTTCCAGGGAAAGGTTTCCCAGCACGACCAATCAAAAGGCAATGGGTAATTCCTCTGTCTTTTTTCCCCTTAACCCTTTTCCCCCGTATGAAGAATGGAAGGTAGAGGCACAAACAAAGCAACAGGGGCTGCATAGTAAAAGTCCTGTTTGTATGTGCCCTGAACTGCCTCCATCGGTACTTTCTGAGTGCTGGAGAGCCAGTGTGGTGCAGGGGTGAGAATGCTGGACTGGGCACCTGGACACCCAGGTTCCAGTCCCCACTTGACCATGAAACTGACTGGCGTCTCTGGGCCAGTCACTCACTCAGCCTTGCCTACCTCACAGGGCTGCTGTTGAGAGGATCAAATGGAGTGGAGGAGGACTGTGTAAGCTGCCTTGAGTTTCTTGCAAGAGGGAAACATGTAGGGTATAAATGCAATGCAACAATCATTTCCCCCTCCTACTAACTTTCCTGCTTATCATTCCCAAGGATCACATTCCATGCACGTGATAGAAGAGGATAGGAAGTAGTTTTTCTGGAAACTTGGGGGGAAATACAAAGGAAGACTAAGACAACAACTCCCCCCCCCCCCCACTGCTTCCTCTGCCTTGCAGGTAGTAGTTCAGCAGGGCACAGGATAAACAGCAGCTTCTAAGAAGCTCCAAAGGCTTCAATCTAGTGGGCAAGAATCATCTGGGACAGTGCCCTTATGGGAATGTGATACTGACATTATGTTGACATTTTAACTGGAATACCTGTAAAAAATTAAAGACAATGGCCCACTTTTATTTTTTAAAAAACACAGAAATGTAATTCTAATTCACAGAAATGTAATTCTAATTCATAAGTAAATTTTAAAATTTACTTTTTTCCTTTTTTTGCAAAGGACAACAGCATATCTTTACATTATCTAAATGTAAGAAAGAAACAAAATGCACTGAACTTTATTGGTATTGGTAAACTACAACTTCCTACAAGTTTAATGGGTTGGGGTTAATTTAGCACTCAAGGCCATGTCAGAAAACATATCGCCAGCAAGCCAGCACAATCAATGTACACATT